GGAGCCACAATGAGAGCCAAGAAGGAAATGCCTCACCTGCCCCCCTCCCCCCATGTTAGTCCTCAGGTAAGTAAAGTTCCCTAAACGTATTACTTAAGTAGACATTGTCCCCTGGCGGCTGGCAGAGCTGGTTCCCATCTTCTGTGTGCTCCTGACAGTTGGTCCTGCAAGGCCGAGGCAGAAGTGATGGGGGGATCTGTCCCCAGCATTCAATTGCCCTTCCTTATTGCCTTTAGTCACTGAAACTCTTGCCACTGTTGAATTCACCTGGAGGAGGATCAGGTTACAGTTTCTCCTTTGTGGAGACATCTTCAGGGGAGAAGTCTTGGGCAGCCACTGCAGTGACGACCACAGAAGGTCCTCACCCCAATGTGGAGGGTCCCCCTCTTGCCTCTCGAGTTCTTTTCGGCCTCATGGCTAATAACTACTCTTGTTCCCCTCCCTTTGCAGATGGCAGCTCTCCAAAGCCCTTTCTATGGAGATAAAATGAATCTCTTTGCCCTCTGCCAGAAGATTGAGCAGTGTGACTACCCGCCTCTCCCGGGAGAGCACTACTCTGAGAAGGTGAGTGTGCTGAGGCCAGAGGCCTGGCCCGGCAGGCTCAACAGCCAGCAGTAGGTCCCCAGGGGCAGTTCCCATTCACCTTGCTAAGGTTGAACGTGGGTTCACTCTACAGCAGTAGTTATCAATCTTCCTAATGCCACAACCCTTTAATCCAGTTCCTGTGGGTCATGACCCACAGGTTAAGAACCGCTGCTCTACAGGGTACAGAAGGGAGGCTTACTGGAAAAGTGACTTGGACAGGAGAGTAGTAGATGATTTTGCTGAAGAAGGGATCCCCAACACTGGTGTGGGCACCCCTCAGTGGGAACCAGTGGGAGCTGGCTGATGTGGCCTGCTGGACACCTCGACCTGTTTTAGCATCCAACTCAGCGCTGGACTGAGATTCACCGCTACAGGTCCCAAGGACATGCTCCATGTGGCACCAGACACTGGGACCAGATATGGAGGTAGGAGGTGCCAAGGCCGTAGCTCCCCCATACCTGCCATCCTGTGTCTGTGACAAAAAACCTCAGCAACGGATGGATTGGTCTCCCCCCTGCTGTTAACAGGCCTAAGTTACACCTTGAGTTTCTATGAGTACTGGTTGCAGGGGCTATGGAAACTAGCTAACTAGCTGTGTGTGAATGTCATCTTCCTTAGTTGCATCACATTGAAGACAGAACTACTTCATGGATAAATTCTGAGGACAAAATGATAGGCTTCACAGCTCAGTAATTAAGGTTATAGACAGACACACATTCCTACAATTCCTTCACTCTTTGGGTAAGTCACTTGACTTTCCCAAATCTGTTTCTTCATCTATAAAATGGGATAATATGAGAATCTTCCACACAGGACTAGGGTAAGGATTAAGGTGAGGTATGTGATATAATCAAGCACTAGGCTAACACCACCATTAAAAGTAGCCCCTGGGCCAGGCACAGGGGCTCAGTCCTGTAACCCTAACACTTTGGGAGGCCAAGGTGAGATGATTGCTTGAGTTCAGAAGTTCGAGACCAGCCTGAGCAACAGTAAGACCCTGTCTCTACTAGAAATAGACAAAATTAGCTGGAGACAGGAGCAGGCACCTGTCATCCCAGCTACTGGGGAGACTGAGGTGAATCACATGAGCCTAGGAGTTCGAGGTTGCAGGGAGGCACGACGATACCATGGCACTCCAGCTGAGGCGACATAGTGAGACTCCCTCAAGGAAAAAAAAGCCCTTGGATGTATAGCACAGTGCCTGGATCAGAGTCAGTACTCACGAAATGTCATTTGTTACCTTTATTTTCATTCTTGGTCACTATGAGTGGGTAAAAGTCTGAGACTTTCCTGAGCCACCACACAGGCCATTGCCTCATGGTACCAACAGCTCACAATCAGATTTCCTATATTGAATCCTCCCCTTGCCCCATTTTACTGGTAAGGAACTTGCCCAAGGTGGCATAACTTGTAAGTGGTGAGGCAAGATCTGAACCCAGATGACCAGTTGGAGCCTGCATCCCACCCAGCCATGGTGCCATCCTGCTTGATGACACATCTTTTTGGCAGCCCATCATCCAACTGGGATGAGGCTTTGGAAGGAGCACCTTGGCCCAGACCCATTCCCATGTGCTTTGACCCTGTGGCCAGGCAGGCCTCCCCAGCAGCTGCCCTGATGGCTGTGCTGTGTAGATCTCTGGGGGATAGGGTGGGGAGGGGTGTGTCAGGAGACTGCAGTGCCTCCATGAAGCCCCTGCCTCCCACTTACAGAGTTCTTATCTGTACCTTGGGAAGAGTGTTTATTGTTCTCCAGTGCAAGTTGGCTGAAAGGAAAAACTAGTTACATTTCTTCACAAAGTCAACAGCTGACATTTGCTTTTTCCTTTCTCTTCTATTTAAATTTGGACTTCAGTCCTATTCAGAAGTTCTTGAGCCACCTGAAGCAAATCACAACTTTGTGCTTCAGTTGCCAGTCCCTAAAGGGAAACCCTCGTCTCCACCCCACAGCTATGGGGCTGAAGCAACATCTTCATAAAGCCCGCAGCCCCCCCCCCGCTTTCCTGACACCAGCTGACACCAGTGTCCGGAGCAAGAGGGCTGCCTAGGTGCCTTCCACACACCCCACTTGACAGCTCTGTCACCTCTTAGAAGTGAAAATAAGACTTTTTTTTTGTTTCTTTTGATTTCTGAAAATTTCAAATATGGCCTTACTGCCAGTGGTGTGGTCTGTGCTCATACTGAGCAGCTCAGGTCCCAGGACTTCACCTGCACCTGGTGTCCTTGGTTTTTTCAACCTGTCAGAGGCCAACCACAGGTACCATGCCCTAAATATTTTAAGGTTCAGAAAAGTACTGTCTCACCCACAGGCAACCTTGGACTCCAGGAGTGTCCAGGCAGGCTGGAGGCTTGCTGTCACCTGACGTCCAGTATCCAATAAAGCTGTGGAATCCCCAAAGGGCACACAAAGGTTGGAGGGAGGTTTCGAAGCTCCACAGACCAGTGAGAAAATGCCTGATCCAGAGAAGGCCCAGATCCTGGCCCCCTCAGCCTGGGGACTGTGCAGTAGCTGCCAGGCCTCCAGAACAACCCTCCCAAACTCCTTGAGTGGCCTCGAGTCCACTGGAGCTCATTCTTGCTCAGGACCTCCCCTCTCCTGGCTGCTGCCACAACCTGCAGGGCCAGTCACCAGCAGCAGGTATTTAAATGAAAACCACTGCCATGAGCCTGTGATGAAAGTTAAGATGTAGGCTTTTTAAGGTCATTATTTTAATTACCATTAAAATAATTGGCACTCTGGCTATCAGAAGAACAGGCGATCAGAGGTGCAAAGTGCCCCTCCCCCCCGGAGGTGGTGCAGCCCCAGTGTCTGTATAATTAAAAGCTCCGTCTTTCATGAGCACAATGGAGGCCAGGGGGTGGACAGACTGCAGCCCTGCTGCATGTTAATACACTTATTATGATCAATAAGCCCTTCCCTGAGTTGTGTCCTCTAGTTTGGGCATCTGCATGACAGGCAGCAGAGACACACACAGGCACACACAGATTTGCCCAATGACATGGACAGGTGAAAAGTTCAAAGTTATTTGCAGGTAGCCATCTTCAGGGTCTAAAAGCGTGGTCTTTGGGACCAGACAGGCCTAGGAGTGGCCCTGGCCACCTCTTAGGAGCTGTCTGACCCGTTGCTTACCCTCACTAACCACAATTCTGCACCTCTAATGGAGACAACAGGACAATCTGTTGCTGTTAAATGCAGATAGAAGTGCTAAGTGCGGAACCTCTAGAAAGTTGCTTTCTTGAGAGTAACACAGGGCGTTCTCTCCCTTGCAGTTACGAGAACTGGTCAGTATGTGCATCTACCCTGACCCCAACCAGAGGCCTGACATTGGGTACGTGCACCAGGTGGCCAAACAGATGCACGTCTGGACATCAAGCACCTGAGCAGACGGACCGTGCCTTACCAAAACCCAGCACCTCTCTGCCTTACTTGAGTTTTCTCTCCAAAGTGGCCACCCGGTAGCCTAGAACAGCTAAGACGCAGCGTTCAGAAAGTTCCCCCAAAGGGGGTCCCCCACATTACACTCAGTGCACACAGCTGGGGGGAGTGGCGCTGATGGTCAGATTCAAAAGTCCTTTCTTCGTACCGTGTGGACAATCTCAGTGGGGTTGTTGACAGGGCTAGGTGGTCCACTGAGCCATCAAAGCCCCCTTGTATCTGGATTGTAATGTGAATCTTTAGGATAATTCTTCCAGTGACCTGTCAAGGTATATGCTTGTAGGAGACTTGCAGGGGACTGCGTGATTTGTGTAGTGAGCCTTTGAAAATGGTTAGTACCAGGTTTAGTTCTTAGTTATCTTTTCAAACAATCAAGCTGTTGTGCTTAATTTACTCTGTTGTAAAGGGATAAAATCCAAGTAGAATGGCGATTTAGCTAAAATTTTCATCTACATTTTATAACTTGATGGATGACGATGATGAGAACCTAGCATCTGTCCTAGAGCTCCACAAGGCAAATGGTGTTTGAAAGCCAGGACTATTTTCCTTGCAGCCTGGTTCAGCCATCTTCTCCTGAACACCTGCCTGGTACCAGGCACGTGACATTGCTGGCAGTTCATTTCATGATCAGTGTTACGCATCCTCCTCCATGGGATACAAAAAGCATGAGGACAATGCCCAGGCCTGTCCTTTACAAATTATGGTTCTGCAACTTCCTTTTGTGACTTTGGGTAAGTTTCTTAGCCATTCTGAGCCTTAGTTTCCTCATCTGTAAAATGAGATTAATAATATCGACTTTTAGGGTTGCGGACAGAATTTAGAATAAAATATGCAAATGAGCTAATACAACATAGATGACCCCATAATGGTAGTCACTCACCCCTTCACAAAACTGAAGTCCATGGACCACATAAGTCAAGAATTAAAGTACAACTGTATTATGTGTAGGAAACCAGAAATGTGTTCATTTATTTCTTATTCCCAAATAGGATTAACTGTGAAGACTGATTCATAAATGTGAACTTAAGAAAACTCAAGTTCAGAAGGAAATAGTTTGAATTTTGTTTCTATACTCAAATTAACCCTCAGAAGCTGCCATCCCTGATCTGGTGATAGTTCAGCCCTGCAGAGAGCACCACTGGCGTCTTGGGGAGGTGCTTCCAGGGCTGGCCATTGCTCTTGTCTCCATGTGTGGACTCTGTCGGCTGGGACCACTGTTGGGCTTGGGAGACTTCAGACGTGGCTTTCCTCTGTACTTGTTCTCCATGTTTGAAATAAGGGGGGGGAGGGGAATGAGGAGAGCTACTTCTGTGAAGGGCTACAATTCATCCATGATTTCAAAACAGCTTTGGAGATTTGACTCTTAAACCAATAGATCCAAAACAGTGTCAGCAGCACATTTCCTTTCAAAATTCAACTTCTCAGGCCTCAGATATCAAGTAATTCTGGGATTATTTTTTAAGCTCCCCAAATAATTCTGATAATCATCAGCCTGGTTTCTGCCTTCCACCATTCCACTCTTCTCCCTCAGCCCACTCCTGGCACTTACAACTGAGAGTAGGGTCACCCTGGAATGTTCTCTGTGGGAAGAAATAAGTCCCTATCTCCTGCCCAGCACTTACCACTGAAAACCTTCCTGATCCCAGACAGATTTTTAGGTAAATATTCTGTGTCTGGCTCTCAAGAGGTCCTGCTGTCTCCCTGGGCACAGAGAGCCTCTGCACGCACACAGACTTGCTTTCTACATGCCATCCCCCTTCCACACTGTGATCATAATCTGTCTAATTGGACCCTCTGGAGGCACACAATCTCAGCCACTCACCAGGCCTGAGTGTTCATGAAATGATCATGTCCTAGTTATTACAAAACAGTAAAACCTGAAACATTCCTTTGATTTCCACAAAACTGGCCACAGTGGAGTCCACCTGCCTGCTTTCTCTTGGTACTTAGAATTGAGCAGGCCTTGAGAATTTGAACTCATGGCTCGGCACCTATGGCTCAAGTGGCTAAGGCACCAGCCACATACACCTAAGGTGGTGGGTTCAAATCCAGCCCCAGGCCCGCCAAACAACGATGGCTGCAACCAAAAAATAGCCAGGCATTGTGTCCGGGGCACCTGTGGTCCCAGCTACTTTGGAGGTGGAGGCAGGAGACTCGCTTGAGCCCAGGAGTTAGAGGTTGCTGTGAGCTGTGATGCTACAGCACTCTACCCAGGGGTATAGCTTGAGGCCCTATCTCAAAAAAAAAAAAAAAGAATTTGAACTCAGATTCATCTTCAGCATGTCTTTCCTACTTAGCTGCTGAGTTAGAAGGCTGTGTGGCACTGTCACCCTATTTAAAAACATCACTACATACCAAACCTGAACCTTAACAGAGACACAGTACACATTAACAAAAGGGCTGGGCATAAATGTCTGAAGAATCAAAGTTATCCCAATCTGACTTCTGGCAACAGACAAGGCGCCATCTGATTAGGAGGCTCACACTGCTTTGACACCTGAATGTAGCCTGTTACTCAAGGAGGATTAACATCCCCAAAGAAAGAACAGGTGAATGGGCCACAACAGCCAAAAGAAAATCCACACACACAGTCCCCAGACACCAGCCACCCAATCTGGTTTTCATTTTATTGCATTTCACTCAGCAAACACTAGCCAAATGCCTGTCTTTGGAGCCTCCATACCCCCAGTCTTCTACAGCAGCAGCCAGCCAGTCACTGACACCACTCAAGAAGTGTCCATAGTTTGGACTGTTTCTTCCAGAACCTCAATTTCCAGGGTAGTGACTTTTTCAGAGAGGACTGCAGTGGTCCCTTTCTCACACCTGTACCGGCCAAACCTAGTGACAGAAAAACAGAAACACAACAGTTATGGCTCCCCTTAAGGTGCCCGAGAGAGGACTAGAGCAAGATGGTGAGCGGGTAGGACTGGGATCCTGGCTTTCCTGATCCCAGCTTCGGAGGGGTAGGGAGGGGTGGCAGACCACAAACGTCCCCAAGGCTCATTCTCCTCAGCTCTCAAGCACTGCAAAATGGAGACAATACAGAGACCAAGTGGCACTTAGGAGACACTCCAATGTCTTTCTCTACCTCACCCTCCAGTACATGCTGGGAAACACTTGGTCACTGCAGCTAGCAGGAAGCAAATCCTTCCCTAATTGTCCTCTTGTGCAATAACAAGGATGACTTAACAACTAATACCTTACACACTTAAAAAATATCTGGAATCATAAACAGAATTAAAATGATCTGCAGCCAGACTCTGGGCTTGTCACTTTAAGCTGCTCTGAAGACTTAAAGAGAATTAACTGTTCCCTTCAAGGATACGGTAGATCACCACTACGACAGGCCCAACACCTTCCTTGGAGTGACAGTCTGTAAGATACGTATCTGGGCCGTCAATCCTCATGCCGGGGCAGAATTATGGTACTGCCAAACAGCAGCACAAACTCAACTATTCCTCTAGTTTGTCCCCAGCTGGGACAATGGACTTACAGAAGTCTGCTGGCTATGCCACGACCACGTGCTCCAGGAAAACCTATCCTCTCAACTGTGCATGTGGGCTCAAAGAAGGAGCAGGAGTCAGGAAAAAGAGGGCAATTTTCAGAGTGCTATGTCAAAATAAGGAGCTCTGGCAACAAAGAATGGACAGCCTTCGTTCTGCAAAGCCTTACCATCCCCCACCCACAGGATCTGAACCACAGCACCTTTTGAAAATGTGTCCCCTGCCCTCTCCTGTTGGTCTGAAGATGCGTACCTAGCAGGCAGTGTAGGAGCGAGAGGCCTCTGTGTGCCTGACTCATCTGCACTGGACCTCAGTGTCCTTGGGAGGTTTGGACATGCTAGAGCCTCTCCACCACGCTGGGTGATGGTGTCCAACCCTGGCAGCATGCGGAGAAGGCTTCTGCCATAAGCCACATGGACTGCAAGTCAGGACTGGGAAGAACTGAGAGCAGAGAGACCAGCAGACATTTGGAAGGCAAAGGCCATGCTATCAGTGGACATGGGTGCCTGCCTAGACTTCTGGCTCTGCCCTGCCCTGCCCCACTCCCCCACCCCTCCCTGGCACTGTCCACTCTGGAAAAGTGTCCCCCTAACCCAGGCAGTATCCTAGCAGCAGTCACTGGCAGAGAAGATGTCAGCAAGATCCCAGCAAGTGTAGACATTACTGTTGCAGTACCCTTAGCCCCAGGGCACCAAGCAGGTAGCAGCTCTGTGCAGAGTACTGCATATGCACACCAACCACATGCCTAGCACCTCCCAGATCCCCTCACTGAGTCTTCACTCTGTGTGTTTACAGCCTCCTTCACGGCCAAGTAACCCATGCCCCCAGGAGAAAAGATATGTCACTGCCATGCTCCCTTTAGGACACAGACTCCTGCGCTGAGCATAGGAGCCCTGGGCAACCACAACACAGCTTCTCAAGACTCAAACATGGCTTTTGACATCCTCACGTGGGACTCTGTTCAGTCCTCCTGCCCCCATCACCTCTTCACCACAGACTTGTTTAGATCCTATATCATCTTGCAAATAACCTGGGAAGCAGGCCATACAGGGGGACAAGGCTCCCCCAACACAACTCTGGGCTTGAAAGGTGGCTTCCTTTCCTGCTAAAGGGCCCAGGCCTAATAGCTCTATCATCTCAAAGACCTCAAAGACAGGGAGACTGACTCGCCCAAAGTCACTCGGCCATTAGCATGCCCCAATACCTGGGCCAGAACTGTGAGGTCCTGCTGCCCCACCCATCAGGGCACTGAGCCTCCATGCCACGTGCAGACTGTAGTGGATGCCTGCTGGCTCCAAGAGACCTGTGCTTGCCCAGTAAAGTGCTCCCATAGTGGGGGGTGAAAGCAGGCATTCCAGCAGGGATGTCAGCTATCCTCTGGGCTAGCTGTGGGGCTGGGCGGGAGGGGCTGGGGTGGATAAACACTGCTGCGGGAACTTCCCCAGCTAGAAGCAGAGCAGGGGGCATCACATGCTAGGCAGCTCAGGCTCCCAGGGGAGGTCAGGATTCCCAGGACGGTCACAGGGCTGAGCAGCCCTGAGGCACTGCAAGCTAGAGCTGTGCATCTAACACACACCAGGCTTGGAAGTCTTCCAGGTCTGCTCACTCCACCAACTAGAATCTTCCGCTGCTCTGAGCCAGGGCCACACACAGAGAAGAGGGCCCTGTGGGGCATATACCTCAGAATGGATGGTACATACCCCTTAGTCCCAAGGCCCTGTGGGGGTGGGGGTGGGGGGAGCACGGTGTGCTTTGTAACCTTTTAGGAGGCCTGGAGCATGGGGACGAAAAGCAATTGGCTGCCCTGGAAAATGCTCCTCCTCACAGAAGACAGGAGATTCTTTAAGATGCTGGAGAAAGGACAGCAGATAAGTCACACCTCTCCTCCTACCTCCCAGCCTAGAGCTTTTCCTTGGGCCCTCTCCACCTCTCCCCACATCAACTTCTTACAAACTAAATCAATCCCGGCCCCTTGATGGCAGCCCACTAGATGACTCAAAGGTCAGTGGGCTGATTTGGGAACACTGGGTTTACTCATTGTGGTAAAGAAGAAAACTCGAGCCAGACATCATGAGATAGCAAGGATGACACAAAGCCAGGAACACACAGAATTTCATCTCCTTTACTCACCTGGTCCCCTTCTTGTTGGGCACTGAGTATGGGCGGAGAAAATCCAGCTTGTTTTTGCTGATGACACAGAGATCAATGTTGCTTCCAGACCCCAAGTCATTGAAGATGCCGGCTGCAATGGCTTCACTCACCAGCTTCTTGGCGTCGTCCTCCTGAGAAAGAGAAGGGCAGTGATAACGTCCACAGCAGAACCGACATGCACAAAGTGCTTTCCCAGGCAGTGCACAAAATCTCCTGGAAGGAAGGCATTGTTTTTGGTGCCCATTTTACAGATGGATCACTTGAGCCCAGGCTGGCAAGATAGCAAAACCACATCTCTACAAAAAATAAGCAAACTTAGTCAGGCATGGTCACATGCACCTGCAATCCCAACTACTCAGGTAGTAAATATTTCAGGTTTTGTAGGCATACAACCTATCAGAACTACTCAAAACAACCACAGACAAGACATAAACAAATGGGTATGACTGTGTTCCCAATAAAACTTTATTAACAAAAATATGCAGCAGGCAGGATCTGGCCTGGGGCTAGTCGGTCAATGACTGAAACTTACTTCCTGGTGACATAATGGAGAAAGTCAGTACCCTGAGGGAGGAAAACTAAACCAAAACAGGAGTTCTGGAGAAATGCTGGCAGAGCCAGGGGTGGGACCTCTTCCCCCCAAAAGAATCTGTCTCCTACAAATGAACCTACGGGCTCACTGAATTCATTTCTCTGAATCACTCTCCCCTTTGCTCTCTGCCTTTAAGA